TTAATGAATAAAACCCCACAACTCGGAAACATAAAATCTAAAATTTCTAAAAATCTAAAGGGAGCTTACATCAATAGATATAAACAATTCACCAAAGTTTCATGAGCACTGCCGAAAGCATTTTTGAGTTATTGGCCAAAAACTGGAAAATCCACCTTTTTTTTAATGAATAAGACCCGATAACTCGGAAACGTAAAATCTAAAATTTATAAAAATCATAAGGGAGCTCATGTCAATAGATAAAAACAATCGACCAAAGTTTCTTGTATATTAGAGAAAGCAGTTTAGAGTTATTGTCCAAAAACTAGAAAACCCCCCTTGTTTTAATGAATAAAACCCCATTTCTCGGAAAAGTAAAATCTAAAATTTATGAAAAACGAAAAGGAGCTCAAGTCAATAGATATATACAATTCACCAAAGTTTTATGCAACTTGGGTAAAGCGTTTTTAAGTTAATGTCCGACATGTTGACGGCGGACGGACACCGGTATACAATAATACGTCCCTTAAACGGGCGTATAAAAATGAAACTTTGACACTTTGACATTACAAGGATAAAACAGTAACATACATTACAGTTCTGCTTCTTTTTTCTCAGTCTATCTGATGAGAGCGTTTGACTAGCAGCCTTTCTCTTTAGACGAGGCATATTTTCAGCTAAAAAAAAAACTTTATCAAATATTTACAACAAAAAGATAACAATAAAATACGATGTATACATGAATAATTCATAGATACAGCGTTATCTGACTGATTATCACAAAAAAGATAAGCATAATAAGAATTATATCTACATGAGAAACACGAATTTACAGTACTATCTGTCTTGCTAACTAATATAAAACGCTCAATTTTGCAAAGCTGGATAGGACTGCAGAGGTTGAACCATGAACAGTTAGGGCAAGTAGGGACACTACATTCAGGATTGATACAGCTCTGAATTTGGATTGTGATTAAATATTTGACACAACATAGGTCTCTGACACAGAATGAATGTGGTCAAAAATTGAAAAATTTGAAATTGAACTTTCACTTATTATTGTCCAATATAAAAAATCAGAACACACGGTTCGATTCAGCATATCCAAGAATTTAATTTATTTATCCATTGATGGACAACAAATGAAATCAATAAAGTTAAATTCATTTAAATGGGGACATATTGTTGGACCGCCCCACACCCCCCCCCCCCCCCCCCCCCGCCTCCCTCCTTATCCTGAGTTAGGAACCCTCCTTTTGAAAATGGCTGGATTCGCCCCTGCTGAGATCATCGTTAAAAGTCAAACCGCACTTTTTGAAGTCAAGCTTTTTTTTTTAACAAAACAATTAACGAAAAACAAATGACAGACATGAACCAACGACAACCACTGAACTACAGGCTCTTGACATGGGACAGGCACATAAAGAATGTGGTGGGTATAAACATTTTTGTGAGTGCCTAACCCTTCCTCTAACCTGGGACAGTGGTGTAGCAAAACAACATAAAAACACACTATAAAAACCATTTGAAAAAAGGCTTAACTCATCAGATCGATACAAAGAAAAATATAAACAAAAACACAGATAGGATGTAACAAGGTATATATCCATTCATAATCCCTAAGAAGAAAACAGACACCAATTACAGATCTGGGAGTACTCGCAGTTACTGACAGCTAGTTCAAAGCCAATAACAACTAACAAAAAAATTACTACGTATCTAAGACTAAAACGTCAATCAGTACATATCCAACACCCAATGGATTTAGTGTTAACAGTCAGAAAAAAAGAAAACATGATCGTTCTCCTAGATCTTGTTGACACTAACAGAAATCAACATAATATTTGAATACTTGGCAGTGTGAAGAGCATTCCGTTTAATTGGTTTAGATTTAAATTGCATAAAAATCAACTAATCGGAGGTACTAGCAGTATCAGACCAAGTTATGGAAAACAATTTTAATTCGTTCCTAAATTGGTGGGAAAATCATTTACATAATACACCCTGATGATGATTGTGACCACGTGTATATTACGAAATGTTTCTATTCATCCAAGCTTTCACGTGTTAGTTACGACCTGTTTACGCGTTGATCAATACGAATAGTTACGAGCTAGTTACGAGTATTTACGACATACCTGCCAACCCTCCCGTTTTTAGCGGGAGACTCCCGCTCAAACGGCGAAATTTCAGAAATCTCCCGCTTGACGGTCCGCTCCCGCGCGGGAGTAGAGAATCTTCCGCTTTCTGATATTTTAACCCGGAATGACTCTTGTTCGTAATTCTGGACCAATCGGCAGTGTAAAAAAGAAGAAATAGATAACTGCAAAATCGAAATGTCAAGCAGTCTGAATGAAAGATTTTTAATTTTTACGACCAAATTCACTGACACCTGGCAATGAATCGTCATTTTGCACATCATGTTCAATCAACTTTTCGGTTTCTTTTGGTGATCTGTACAACTTTTGAAAGCATGCTAAGTGTGGGTCTCGCAACAAAATCAAAATATGGAATGTTATGAGTTATGGGACTCGGAGGTATTGAAAAAGGCCCCCCCAAAAAAAAAAAAAAAAAAAACACGCACACACACACCTTGTATAAATTATAACCATGAATTGGAGAAATAAAGTATATCTTTTAACTCTTATAGGTGTTTTGTAGATGAATAAATAAACAAGTCATATATTTAACTTTAAAATGTCGTATGAGAAAAATCTCCCCTCAGCTGTCATAGCTAAGGGGGAGATCTCCCACTTGGAAGGTTTTAGAGGTTGGCATGTATGATTTACGAGTCCGTACGATTTTGAAGCTTTTATACCTTACTCCAAATCGTAAACAGTACATGAGAATACGTTAAGTATACGTATCTATTCGTAAAGTACTCTTCACTACGCGTAAAGTGCTCGTAATAACTCGTAACAATCCGTAAGGCTATCGTAATACGACCCAAATGAAATAATAAGCAACACGTAAGCACCCGTAATAATACAGCAATAATTCGTAAACAAATCGTAAATACCCATAACAAATCGGAAACAAAAATGTTACGAGTCATTCACGGACTTTTGCAAGCAGTCTACGGATGGTTACGTGTTGCTGCAAGCGGTTTACGATACGTATGGACTGTTACGGGTTAAATACGGAAAAATCAATCCGTGGACAATCCTTTCAGGTTCATTAAGAGTGTCTGCGAGTTGTTGCGAGTTCTACAGAGTTATTTACTGATTCCAGCGACATATTTGCGGATGCTTGCGACTGACTACGAGTTGGCAATTCGTAAGGACTCGTAAGAAAAATTCGTGTATGTGATGGGGGCTTTTAAAAGTTTACAATGGTTCTCAATGACAATGACAAAGTGACCACCAATACATCTTTAAACATATTATCTAGATGAACTAAATATAAGAATAACTTGTAGGAATGGAATAATTTCATGTAAATTGCAAGTCCAATTTAATGTGTTCAATCGGAAAAAATAAGCAAGAATCTCTTTAAAATAACAAGGATTGTTTGTTAAACTCGTATAATTTTGCATAACGATTATAAATATAATATGTTTAAATTGATGCAAGTATGCAATCTAACATACTTGCTATGATATATTAGAAGTAAAGAAAAATAGAATATACCACTGTTTGAGATCATTTTTTATTACGGAAAGCGGGACCAAGGGCAGATTACCATTGTTGTATTTTACAATAAAGCAGGGAATTATTTTTGTCTGATAAAATAGTTCGGTACCATATATATAGAAGCTTATATAATGGAAAAGTCATATTTTTACTTTGCCTAAATATATTAAATATTTGATGAAATACTGACTATACAGGCACTAAAATATTATTGACTTTTACACTACTGTTACCCAATATCTGCATTCGCTATGGGGAAATGTCTACGAGAGTTTCTATAAAATCAATTCACTATTACTAGCACGTTTACTCAATCTAGATTTCCATGCAGAAAAAAAAGCACAAATACACCACAGAAGGCTAATTGCATGGTTAGGTGTGCAAGACATTAACACCGTATGAAAATTAAAAAAAAAAACTTTCGACATTTCGCATAAAAAAAAAGCTATGTGATGGCATAGATTAAATTGTGCTTACTGTTTTTTTTTCCCAATCTACTGGGCGCAAAACTTTGTTATCGGAACACATCCCTTCCGTTTATATTTTAAAGAGTCTTGTTGGTCTCGTACAGGTAATTAAGAGTTTTTTTCGCGCCTGCGATGTGAGTCGCGGAAAGAGAAATATATGTGTTGCTTTTCCTGTGGCCTTAGCGGCGACGGCGGTTTCTGCTTAATTCAGTTTGATAGGAACTACTTGTGATAGATCAACGATATTTTATATAGAGTTGCATTACTATCAGTGTAGATCAGTTTGGCAGCTATTGCGAGGCCCTGTCTCCTAGGACAAAGTCCGGCAACTTTCAATTAATAAGCAATTTTTCAATATTAGATTTCTGATTTAGTTAATTTGATAGGAACTTCTTGTGATAGATCACTGACATTTTCTAAAAAATTGCAATACTATCAGTACATATCAATTTGACGCCCTGCTCCCTAGGTCATGATCCAGCGTCTTTCAAATACTAAGCAATTTTCAACGTTAAGTTGTCTGCTGAAGTTAGTTTGATACGAACTACTTGTGATAGATCAATGATAATTTCTCTAAAGTCACATTGCTATCAGTTTATATTAGTTTGACGATTATTACGAGGATCTGTCCCCTAGGTCATAGTCCAGCGACTTTGAATTGAGTTGATTCGAATTCCTGCCAATGGGTGAGACTTTTCTCTGTGTCAATAGTTTTTTGTTTTTGTTTTAGGTCTTACGCTGAAGATGTAAAGTCTAGTGTTGTAGATTTAAAGTCTTTCGCTGAAGATGTTAAGTCCAGCGCTGAAGAATTTAAGTCTAGCTCTGAAGATTTCAATATCAGCCCTGAGGATGTAAAGTCACGCGCTGAATGTTAAAAGTCTAGCTTTAAAGATGTTGAGATCAACGATGAATATGTCACGTAATGTCCAGCGCTGAGGATGTTAAGTCCAGCGCTAAAGATATAAAGTACAGAGCTGAAGCTCTAAATTCTACAAATGTAAAGTTTAGCACTGTATATATATCAAAAATCTAGCGCTGGAGATGGAAAGTACAGCACTAGATATACAATTGAGCGCTGTAGATTGTACAGAGTCAAGCGGTCGAGATAAAGTTCAGCGTTAAAGATGTAAACTCCAGCGCTGCAAATGTAAAGTCTAGTGCTGGATATAAAGTATAGTGCTGGATATAAAGTCTAGCGCTGGGGATGTAAAGTCTAGCGCTCTAACTGTAAAGTCTAGCGCTCGAAATGTAAGTATGGTGCTCGAAATGTAAAGTCGAGCGCTGTAGACATAAAGTCAAGTGTCTGTAAACCCCAATTCTCCGTAGTTTTTAGATGTTTAGGTAATAGAAATTAAAGATTTTTTTTTTGACATAGTCATGATAACAAATTCATTTTATTTCTTTGAATACTGCAATGTAAAAAAAAAACTATATTAAGTAGTTATATATAAATTCCACCGTTTGGTGTTTTCACTCATAGCACCATTTGTTGAAAAACAAATAGTAAAAGTTCAAACTTTTTTATATCGTTAGGTTGCTGTCTCATCGATGTATACCCACATCTCATTTTATTCAAATTTTAATGAACATTTTTCAAAGAATATTTATAATATGCTATAGCACCCTGCATCTGTATGAGAAGTCACCTTAAACAAATTTGTAAATAAACACTGCATAAGAAATGCATGTGTTATAATAATATGATTGTAATAATAATGAATTAAAAAGCAAATTCAGGAAATTAGATATATCTACAAGATGTTATTTTCCAGTACAAAGTCTTGTGTAAAACCCATATGTTTAACAATAAAACGAATTTTTCTCCAAATTATCTTCTCGGATACAGACACTAGTTTGTATTGTGAGACTAATAGAGGAGCGGGAAATACAACTGTAAACCTATAAGTTTTCATGTTTTGAACCAACTAACATCATTAGTTAGACGGTGTAAAAAATAGTTGAAAGATGAGAGCGAAAGAAGCGGGAAATATAAATGTAAGCTATACATAAACAAATATACTGTAATTGCTGATAATGCATTTCTCACGGCTATTTGATACAGGGAAGGTCGTTGTTTTATCATCTCTCCCACATTTATACATTCCATCCTCTAGTTTCCGCTGTAATTGTTAATTAATCTGACAGTGGTCGACATCATTCTGAAGTATTTTGCTACACCGATAAAGGAGTTTATTGTAATTAATATGTACGCATTTAAAATACTGCTTTAGGTACCATCTTCTCATCTTTTAAGGGAAACATGATGTTTCTAAAAAAAAAAAAAACATTATTCAGACGTGAATTTCAAACAATATAGATTGATTATATTAAAAATAAGAACATTGATTAAAAAAAAAGCTTGTTCATGTGTGTTATTGAAAACAGGTGTGTTCTTTATAAAAGTTGGCAAAAAATGTTTGTCCCAAATATAACCAGCCCCCTCTTAATAAACGAATGGTCGGGCCTAAATATTTATTTGGCTTTTTTTCTTTTTTTTATGAATCATGTAATTGTACTTTACCTAATGAAAACGTTTTTTTAGCTTTTAGACAAGAAGATTAACCCATAAATATGATTCCACACCGAAATCAGTATTATAGGAAAACTTATAAACTGTACATTCAGTTTGAATTTTTTACACTCCCGTTTTTTATATCACCATTAAATAAATGCATGTTGATACATGTATGGCCTTCATAACATGATTCGTGCTTCATTGACTTTGCACTTTATCCGAGGGTTTAGGACACAGAGTAACCAAAAATGATAAAACAAAAAATGATACTCTGACATTGTATCAAAGTCGAAATATAAGGCGGGCCGAGAACCCTTTTAAAAGAGTTCGTATATTCATTCATTGTCAGAAAAAGTTTAAAACTCAGTTCTACTTTTTTTACCTTTCTGAAATTTAGCTTTGATCTAAGGCATAAAAGGTTTATATAACACAAGCTTTACAAAGTTTATTATTTTCATGACAGTACTGAAACGCTCAACATAGGCGGACTACTAATGTATCAGTAAGATACCAACTGGCTGCATGCAAGCAGTTACGTTTTATCAACTTCTCAACTAAAGTATGCTTCTATAACTTATATATAAAACTTTCTTTTTTAATTTGTTTGAACACAAATTAAATCATCGTTCAAGTGAGATTAACCATCATAAAACCATAAGGTATCCGCAGGTCAATATTCAATCTTTAATTACTGGATAAGTGTCTTAATGGCAAGGTACAAATCGACTCCAGTCTAGAAAAGTGAATATATTTAACAGAGACTTTCAAACTTTCAAAGACTTGCCATAAACACAAAATTTCTAAATGACCGTGATGCATTAAGATATGTAGAAAAGTTAACAACTTCACAAGTTTGCTTGGCATAATCATATGTGGCGGGGTCGATCTAGTTTTTTTTTCAGATCACAACCATCGATCCATCTAATCTTGACCAATGGAAAAAAAATATCTATAAAAGAACGAACAATAAAAATAAGTCCAGTGACTAACTCATATCAATCACATGTTTTTTTTTTTTATTTAGAGAATATGTATTTTGACAAACTTTTGATAATTTCTGTTTATTTTCTAATTCACAGCTCCTCGTGTTTTCAAGTACTTATACATCCGGGGCTTTCATATTTTGGGTTGGAGCGATCCTGGTGAAGGTAAATCCAGAAAGCACTTCCGAAGCACCAACAAGATAAAAAAGTGTTTTTCATTTACTAACACTTGGTAGGTATCACTGACTTGAACTGTTATATGCCCCGAGAGTACCAATATACCAAGTATGTGCTTCGGTAATGACATGGTTTATAGCATACTTTTCTAAAATTTGCCGTTGGTAAATTTTGAAATTATTAAAAAAAAAAACAAAAAAAACTAAGGTTCCAACTCCCTTAGGCATAGTTGAACTTTTATGACCTTTTTTTGTATGTTCCTTTTGGTCACAAAGCTCCGGGCGTATTAAAGTATATTTACACATTGTACTTTACTTTCCAAGTTCTGGGTTTGAGCGTTTCTGATGAAGGTCATTGAAGTTAAGCGCTTCAGATGTTACAAATTTAAAAAGGTTATACTCAGAGAGATGTAGAGCTTGACAATATAGACACGAGTGTTTTTGTTTTAAGACTTGTGTTGCCTTCTAGATGTCTTTTAGTTAATGTGTCGTTGGTTTGTGTCTCATTGGCGTTTATCCAAAATCACCTTTTGTTCATACGTGTTTAAGCAAAATAATATTAAACAATTAAATATAATTTGTCTTTCATTAAAACAATACACACGTGGTAATAGAGGGACCCCCGTAGTAGACATCATTTTTACATTAACATGCAAGTACGATGATGAAGCTTTTTTTTAACTTGGTTGATATCCGATCATTAAATTAGAAATAATTTAAAATTTACAGGCATTCGTTACACTTTTAATGAAATCGTTGCACTTTAAATAAAAGTGTAGCCTACAGAACATGATTTCAGTATTCATGACAATTTAAGAGAAATAAGACAATAGCGTACTACATTTTAGTATTAACATTATTATGTTTTTGTTAATTTCCAGTTAGTTTATATGCTCGACTTCAAAGTACAAATAACCCAAGCTTTGAATGGGTATAGAAAAACGGTTTCACCCGGACTTCTCCCGTCCTTCAATAATACCTTTGCTTAAGTGGGGCGCCCAATTTGCTTTGCAGGATGTATTATATACTCAGTCGCGTCCGGTTAGAATGGGGGTGTTATATCCGATGACTCATGTAGGGAAGGTTTCATGGTCTCTGCGCGTTGAAGAACATTTGCAACAACTCTTTGAGGGGTCCGTTGTTTTCTTATTGCAAAGCGAAATTTCTGCTATCATACTTATTTTCTAGTGAAAGTCCAAATTTCAAACTCATATCGGTTGACTTACTTTGCAGAACCTATACCTTTTCTTGTTAATTGTTAACAAATTCTTGTCCTCAAATATACACGAAATAATTGCCCCTGGACGTTCAATCAATCAATCTGTCAATCAAAGAACATAAATTCATTACATATCTGGTGCATAATAGGTGTAAGAGATATATACTAGTTATTTTTATGAGAACTAAATTTTCTATAATGTAACTACGAGTACTGTTAGATCGGTATTTTCTTTTTTTTTTTTTTTCCTTTTTTTTAGCTTTCGTTTGATTCTTATTGGCGTGTCGATTTGATGAGTCAACCCTTTCCCCGACTGGTTTTTATAGTTTGTTCTCATGTTTTGCTGAAACACAACTGTTCCAGGTTTAGAGGAAGGTTGCGCGTTAGAAAACATGTTTAACTCCGCCACATTCTTATGTGTCTGTCCAAAGTCAGGAGCCTGTGATTTTGTGGTTGTCGTTTGTTGCTATTTAACATATTTGATTTTCGTTTTTGTTTTGTACAGAAATCAGACCGTTGGTATTTTTGGTTCAATTGTTATGCATTTGTTCGTGTCGAGGCCGTTTAAAGCTATCTCTACGGGATGTATTTTATTCATTGTTGATGAATACAGTGACATATTAGCGCTTACATCTACGTCATGTGGCAATGGTCAATACTGGTGGAAAGTTGTCATTGGCAGTCCTACTACATCTTCTTATAATTGTTATATTGCTTGATAAATGCCTTTTAGGGTAAACATAGAGCGTTGTTAGTTCTGACATTCGGAACTGCTCTGTCCTTGTCAGATTTCTTTTATCTTTAATAGAATTCTAGTTGATAGAAAATAACTTTCAGTTTACCGTTACGTTCTAAATGCTTACGTCATGTCAGCCATTTTGATTGCTGGATCGACAATTAATTCCCAACAAATACTAATGACACTATCTTGCCCACTTGGTGTCTTTTCTGTCTTTTAACATGAATTGTCTCAAATTAAGTGTAAATTGGCCCAATAGTGTTAAAGGAAAATTTGAAATGGAAAATGTTAATGACAACCTATGACAGACGCAAAGTAATTCAATTATTGTTCTGATATGGCCCTAATTGGCCAGATCAACTAAA